AACTATATAAGTGCACTTTTTGACTTTTTAGCTAAAAAAGTAGAGGAAAAAAAATGTTTGGGATAACTTTTTGACTTTTTACGAAAAAATGTATATTAAAATATTGTATCAACTAGAAAAATTACCTTCCTACCCTTCTGAGCACTGGCAGGTTGTTTCGTGCATGTTAGTGACTGTGTTGTGCTGCACTATGCATCAATGTACCGCGTCAGTGCACTGTGTTGCACTGTTTTGATTTTTTTTTTTTCCAAAAAGTGCACTGTTGGAAGGGGAGTGTACCAAGGGCATTTCTGTCTTTTTATAGACAATCTATTCAGAATTTTATTTCTCGCCAAAATATGTGAATAGTGTTAACATTTTTGTTTTTTTTTTTTGTGACTTTTAAACTTTTTGACTTTTTTAAAGGATGTCAAACACCTACTTAATATGCCATCATGCCACGTTTAACACATCTGTTATGCCACGTTAGCATGCATATCGACAGAAATAATAACAATAAAAACAAATGTGGTCAAAATTATTCTTTGAAAATAGTTTATGATTTCAATCGATAGACCATAATTAAACTCGACCATAATTAATAGATTACAATCGATAAAAAAATAAAATGTAATGTGAACAACTTGTAATAATTTTACAAATAGCTTTTTGAAACTTGTGTGCATGTGTCTTTTCACCAAACGGAAGTTCCTACCCCCCTTATCCCCCTCAATCAGCAGCAAACATGACACATCACAGCGATCAACATACAACTAACATACTTTTTTAGCACCAATCAATATAACCAGAAGTGCAAAAATGGCCTCTATTGGTTGGATTTAGGGACAGAATTAGGATTTTATTATCAGATGGGTTAAAAAAAATAAATTTTTTTATTATATACACAAAATATACCTGTATGTATAATATAATATATAAATTATATATACTGTACGGGAAAGAAATAAACCTTCTTGTATAATCCTGTTGATCAAGTCTGCGCCCCTCCAAACGTCGTCGCTTTACTCCCTGAAAACACAAACGTGAGCTAGCCGGCGGGTGCGTACCGGAAACCTCTCTGATGCCTAAGTCAGCAAAATAGACAAGTAGACAAAAGCTCTGTGTATTCAGGAATCAAAGTTGTGTTACCTCTCCATAGGTGATGTTTGTGAGCTTTTATAGGTTCCGTGTGGCACAATCCAAGTAAGACTCTTACTCTTCCATGTAGAGTCCTCCTAGGATTCATACTCCTGAAAGATAACGCTTATCCTTCAACACCCTCCTCACTGCTTAAACCCAGTGAGATGGTTTTACCATGGTTGGATTCCACTATGACCGAGGTAAGCATGGCTTATGCTAAGCCGCAGACTAGACCGAGCTAACTTTAGTTCGGCTCTTCCATTCACTGCTCTTACCCAGGTTTCTCCTAGCGCCAACCATGGTGTGATCAGACCGAGCTATCAAACAGCAAGGTTCTGACCGAGATAACTTCGATAAGCCAAGACCGGGCTAACTTTAAGTACGGCAACCGGGCTATGTTCAAAGCTTCCTTTAGACCGGAGTAACCGCAAGATTCTTTCGGGCCGGAGTAACTTTACACCTCTCTTGGGCCGGAGTAACTTTATGGCCTTTTTACTCAGTCCTTCGCAACATGGCCCATAACGGCCCATTACCCAACTCGGCCCAATTTATAAGTATAAATTACCCTCTCATATACATAAAAAAAATTTAAATACCATAGAAGCAATTTCTAATAAAATAAAAAAAAAAAAATTGATGTAAAATAGAAAGAGAGTTTAAAATGGAAGAAAAATTTTATATATATATATATTGTTAGTAATGGGCGCCCATGTGCATTTTATGTATAAAATAATATATATATTTTTAAAGTTCTATAAAAAATAATAATTTTCACAAAAACAAGGAGAGCATGGCCCTATAATATTTTCCTAATTCTGTCCCTGGTTGCAGCCACCATCACCATCGAAGTTGTCAAAAATCGTTCTCTATAGCCATTAATCAGCATTTTTTACTTGGTCGTCTTATTTTTTATTTTTAAAGGTACTCAGCACCTAATAAATCGCCTATTTCAATTGATGAGGAGGACCTGATATGAACAATGGTGCCTTTGGCAAATAAAATAACAGACATCCTAGAAGAGACGGACGGGGAATGACAGTCGGTCAATCACATCACCAATTATAGAGATAGGAAATATTCTATGATCAATTGTCATGTTAGCATGCCTTGCCTTGTTAGGTAGGTAAAGTAGTTAGCATGTAGCATCATCATCCCACCACCCCCACCACTCCAAACACTGCTTACTAAATGCATGGCCCTATTTTCATTTCCTCTCTATCATCAACCAAGTGTTTTTTTATACACTTGTGTTTTCATAATATTACAATATAAAATTATTATAAAAAAAGAAAATTTATAATAGAGGTCTATAATGTGTTTTTAACTGCTACTTCTTGTTAGAATCTTATATAAACTAAGCCTTCCACCCGGTTGGATTGGGAGTTTTTGGATGAAATTGAAAATAAATGTATTTCTCTTAATTTATATCAGTTGTTTGGATGGAAAGAAATGGAGTGAAATTCATTTTAACTATAATCCTTGTTTTGAATCTTTTCAAAAGTAGAAAGATTGGGAGATAAAAAAAGCCAACAAATTATTATCTTTTCATAATACCAAAATTGTCTGTTTAAATATGGAAACAAATATAAAACTTATGACACCTATAAAAAAAATTATATTGATAATAATATGAAACAATTTCTTTTATGTAGTTTAACCAAGCAAGATAAGAAATAAATATTTTTATTTTCTATTCTTTTATCTCCTATTTATCCAAATATGAGGAAGAGAAAAATGTGGGATGGGTCCTAGTTCGAACATGTGGTGTACCTCTCTATCCAGATGCATGGCTCAAAGTTATCCCTCAACTCAAAAGTAAGGCCTATGGAGCTTGGGAACTAGGCAGGGAACGAGCAAGGATCCTCTGTTTTCAAATATTCTTGTTTCTCTATCCCAAAGTACTCACAATCATTAGATCATATGAGAATCTCAAGATATATTCAATGGTTATGAATGATTTAGGACACAGGGACATAAATATTTGGGGACAGGGATCCTTGGTACAAGTAACTCGAGAGTTAGGCACTCTGCTCTGTTAGGACATTTTGCCATGTCACTTTATTAAGCTACACTGGTGGAGAGAATCAAGGAATATTTCAAAAACTAATCAAAATAATGCTAATCACCTCCAAACATCGGTGCAATTTTTGCCATGTCACTTTATTAAGCTACACTGGTGGAGAGAATCAAGGAATATTTCAAAAACTAATCAAAATAATGCTAATCACCTCCAAACATCGGTGCAATATCCCACAAATAGTGGAACCAGTATTTCAAATGAGTTATTTATACTTTATTTCAAATTAAGGAGTGTTACATAATAAGTCATCTTACTATTATATTCACAAAAATTGTTCTGACTTAAACATCAGAGTATCCATCCGAGTAGGACGAGGCACTAATGGTGCTATATCTTTGTAGATTCATACATGTGGTTAATCTCTTTGTTGATTGTGGGTCACATTTTTTCCCCACACAAAAAATACATTTTTTTTTTTTAACTTATGTAATTATTTCTTTTATCTTCTTTCTTAAGTTACCAAAGAAAGTGTTAAACAACCCATATTTTGCTGTTCATGTTTTTTTCAATAAGAAGAATACCTTAATTAGATTTTTCACTTTCATATTTAAAAAAAGAAAGGAAAAAACACGGGAGTCTGGAGAGACTAGTACAGTCCATCTATGCTATTATCGAAACAATTTTGACTTTGTTAAAAGTATTGTACAATTACATAATGCTTTCAATTGATTGCACACTTATTAACCATAAAGTAAAAATTGTCTTTGACAATGATACTGCTGTAAATATATATAATAAAATTATTTTTTTTATCTAATTTTTTTTTTTCTAAATTTTTAGATGAGTTAATAATTAATAATTAATATTTAGATGAATTTGCAATCAATAATTTAATAAATACTACTTTGAAGTATTTATTGAAAAGGAAAACAAAAATATGTTCCCCCTATTGTACAACTATAGTCTTTAAGGAAAATAATATCATTAAAGAGAATTTATGTAATAAATAAAATTAAAAAAAAAAAAAGAATAAATCATACTGAAGTCCCATATAGTTTAGAGAAATTGCTGCAAGTGTCATAAACTTAAGAAACCTAAGAAGGTTCCCCATCAACTAAAAAAACCACTAGCTGATATTTTTTGAGAAATATTTATTCTCACTCCACTAATTTATAATTGTATTCTAAAATTTACATTGTTATTGAGAATGTGTCATATATAATTTTGAACATCAAAATAAATTGGGCTTTTTTCCTGTCAATAATTTAGATTGGAAGGTTCTATTCGAATTCCTAAGATTCATCATAAGTCTCATTTTAATAATATGAATAATTCATTTTGTAAGATCTTCTGTATATATTAATTATAAAAAAAAATTAAGTCATTTTGATAATCGTAACTTTTTCATCAATTTTTTTAAAAACAAATGGGATAAATAAAAAAATTATAATTATCGAATCGATTTAATTTTTTATTATAGTTAATATACATAAAAATTACTATAAAATAAAAAATTTGAATTATTAAAATAAAAGGCAAGATGAGGTGACAGCACTTTTTTTTTTTTTAATTTTTATTTTGAACTAAAAAAAAAATGAGTGACAAATGTAAAAAAATGGACAGGAAATAACAATTTACTATTTTTATGATTTTAAGGAACAAAAAGCGTACTTTGGGGGGTAAAAAATGGACTGGGGTTGACGCGTGTTAAAAGTGTAAACACCAATTAAAGAAACATAAAAACATTTTTGTGAAGTAATAAAACAAAGGAAAAAGTAGTGTGAAAGGCTGGCAAAGAGAGAAACGCGTACGCGTAGAGCATAGTAGGAGAGGATAGTATTAGTAGCATATACGCCAACGTAACCCAACCCAACCCAACCCAACAACGACATCACCTGCTTCCCTACGTACCTGCTGCTGCTGCTGCTGCTTGCGCTTGCTTTCTGCTGAGACTCATATGATATGATGTGATGATGACTCATCATCAAATATTGAGAATCTCGAGTCTCTCTATTTATTATTAACTAACAACTTCTCTTCTCTTCTCTTCTCTTCTCTTTCATAGAGACATAGGGACTAGAGAGAGAGAGAGAGAGAGAGAGAGAGAAAAGGAAAAGAAATAGCTTCTCTGCTCTGCTCTCCCTGCCCCCTTTGAGATCAACTAATAATAATGAAAAATCAATTGCTGGTGCGTTTTCTCACGGCAAATGTGGTACTAATGTTATTCTGTGTTGTTGCTTCTTCTTCTGCAAAAGTTAAAGAGGCTAGTACTAGTACGAGTACTAGTAGTAGTGTTGTTGTGTCGGCGGTGGGAGACCCAGGAATGAGAAGAGATGGACTGCGGGTAGCCTTTGAAGCTTGGAATTTTTGCAATGAAGTTGGCAAAGAAACCTCCCGCATGGGTAGCCCACGAGCTGCCGATTGTTTTGATCTATCAACCTCAAGTAAGCCTCCGAAACATGTTATGCATTCTCAATCTCAATCTCAATCTCAATCTCAATTCATACTCACCAACACCACTACTCTAGTTACTCTGGGTTTCCTCTTTCTTTCTTTTGGGTTCTTTCATTTGATTATATTATGTTATTCTTATTTATGTTGTAATTTAAATTCTTTCTTTTGGGTTCTTTCATTTGATTATATTATGTTATTCTTATTATGTTGTAATTTAAATGGGCAGATCCTCACTCTGTGAATCACAAAGTAACAGAGGCCGACAACAAACTTGGTGTGGGGAAGCCATTCCCTGGTTTGAGCCCAAAAGCTTTAAACGATCCAGACCTTTATGCAGCGGATAAACAAGTGTATCTGGGTTCTTTATGTGAAGTTAAGGAAACCCCAAATTCAAAAAAACCATGGCAATTTTGGATGATTATGTTGAAAAATGGCAACTACGACACTAAGTCTGCTTTGTGTCCACAGAATGGGAAAAAGGTACCCCCTTTTGCTCCTGGGAAATTCCCTTGTTTTGGAGATGGTTGTATGAATCAACCCCTATTGTATCATCAACCTACGAGTTTATCATCATCAACTGGTAATAGTAATACTAATGATACGATGATGAGAGGGGGTTTTAATGGTACCTATGATTTGGGTTCTGGATCTCGTGGTATCAACAATAGTAGTGGGATCTCTTATTTTGAGGTAATGTGGGAGAAGAAAGTTGGGGTTGGGAGTTGGGTTTTTAGTCATAAACTCAAGACCTCAAAATTGTACCCATGGCTGATGCTGTACCTTAGAGCTGATGCAACCAAAGGTTTCTCTGGAGGCTACCACTACGACACCAGAGGAATGCTCAAAACTGTAAGTACAACAACAACAACAACAACTTACACTTACAAGTTACAACTCTCTCTCTCTCTCTCTCTCTCTCTCTCTCTCTGTGCATTAGACATCCTTAGCTAATTTAGTTTATTAAACTTTATCCGGAACGAACTTGGTCTGTTCGCATATGGCTGCTTAATCTAAAGGAAAAAAGGTGCATCATTTTGTTCATATGTTATTTGAGATGTTCAGATAGAGATTTGATAATGTCACTTGATACCATAGAGACTGACAAAATGTATCCTAACTAATATCATTTTAAATTTACTTCTGAGGAAGGGGTGCCTAAATTATTAATCTGTCATTTTTTTAATGCCTCAATAGATTACTCATTCAATCTCAATCAATATAAAATGAAAGAAAAACCCATACCAAAATTCAGGTCAAATATTTTATATAGAGTTTTGTCGACTAAACTTTCTACCAGATCTGTTTTAATTTAACAGACTCTACAGACAGGCAAAGATTGATCCAGGGTAGGTCACACCAGCGTATGAGTTTCCTTAAGAAAACAGATAATGCTACACTTAACTTGAATATCTGGTGCACGCATCATTATTAGTTTGACATTCAGGTTCCGCATCAACTACTTGGTTTGTTGTTTGTTGGGGGGGGGTTTTGTTCTACAGTATTTGAAAACAAACATACCAAAAACAAAAATTGAACTGAAATGTCAAATAAGCGGGCCATATATTGCTCCATATAAAACTTAATTTACAACTACTTATTTGACATTACTTTGAATCAAGTTGAATGGCAAAACCTGATATGGACGTCTGTTTCGGTGCTCAGCCACCTTGTCTTACATTACAACTACACTTATATTTGACATTACTGTGATTCAAGTTGATTGACAAAACCTAAGATGGATGGATATCCATTTTGGTGCTCAGCAACTTTTGTGTGTTTATCAGCTTCCAGAGTCGCCTAATTTCAAAGTGAGATTGAGTTTGGATGTGAAGCAAGGGGGTGGAGCTAAGAGCCAGTTCTACCTAATAGATATGGGGAGCTGCTGGAAGAACAATGGTGCAGCCTGTGATGGAGATGTGGTGACCGATGTAACCAGGTACAGCGAGATGATCATTAACCCTCAAACTCCAGCTTGGTGCAGCAGTACGAGTTTGGGGAACTGTCCCCCATTCCACATCACTCCAAACAACACAAAAATTTACAGGAATAACACTGCAAATTTCCCTTACACAGCTTACCACTACTACTGTGCTCCTGGGAATGCCCAGTACTTGGAAAAACCTTACAGCACTTGTGATCCTTACAGCAATCCTCAGGCACAGGAGCTGGTTCAGTTGCTTCCTCATCCAATTTGGGCTGAGTATGGCTATCCTACTAAACAAGGAGACGGTTGGATTGGGGATGCTAGGACTTGGGAGCTCGATGTTGGTGGTCTTTCCAGTAGACTCTACTTCTATCAGGTCAGTAATTATTTTTTTATTTGAAAAAAACCCCTCTTCTTGTAGTAATATTATAGTAGAAGCATATACAGCATGCTTTATAATATGTAAGAGATGTATATGTGACAGTGACTGAGGCTTTGGTAAACATACCTTCTACTGCAGGATCCAGGAACCACTCCTGCAAAAAGAATATGGACATCTCTTGATGTGGGAACTGAAATATTTGTTAGCGACAAAGACGAAGTGGCAGAATGGACTCTGAGTGATTTCGATGTTATTCTGACTTCTCCAACCACATAATTATCCAAGCATACAATTTCATTTTGTAATGCGGCTTGTGTATTAGGTTAGTTATGTGTATATATATATATATATGCTTCAGTTGGAAGAGTTTCTGCTAGAAGCCAAACAAACCCAAAAGGGCAGGGCTTCATTGCTGTTGAGGCAGGCACTCACCAATAGTCTTCCTGTTACATCATTTGAAAGCAAACAATAAAGATTTCAACGATAAGCTGTAAAAAGCATGTTGCAGCAGCAAATAGAATACAGACCGACCTGGTTTTGCATTTTTTACTCTCTCACAAATATCTTAGAATTACTGTATAATGTTGGAGTTGTGTGTGTGTGTGTGTGTGTGTTTGTTTGTTTGTTCGTTCTAGCCTGGTGTTTGTTTGTTTGTTGTTCTAACATCAATCTGTCTCAAGCATGGCCCAACCTGGGTGAACATACTAATATTATATGCAGCCTTTTCATAATGCTGTTGGCTTCTTATTGCAAAATCAAATCCTTTCAACCGTATATATATAGAGTGAATGGAGGATGAAACTCGAGAAGAAAGTAGGATGACCAAGAAGAACACTCTAATTCATCTAACAATTGAGCATACGAAGTGTTTGCAGAAGTCTTCAAAGTCTTATTTTATATTGCCCACTTTTCATTTTCTTTTTCTAGTGGGAAGAGAGGTGCTCTGGAGTTTCTGGAACAGAGGAACAGGAAATGTCTTCTATTCGAATTCATTTACATTAGTATATCTCTCCTGGACTCCAATGGATCCACTATGCGGGTTCAACTTCCTTCCAGAAATCAGAGGATGTAATCTCAATTTCTTCTGGCTGATATAAAAAGATACACACTGTCATGTGAACTTCATATTCCAATGGGGGAATGCCTTATTTTTGTTGAAGTGGACCGTGTTTCCACCTTGAACTAGACACAAATTATATTATGTGAAATAAAAAGGCATCTCCTCCTCACTGAAAACAACTCTTCACCTTTCCCTTTTCTTAAGATAATAATTGACCCTAAACTTTTAAAAATAAAATCCATTTAAATAAATAAAAACTAGTAATATTATTTGTGTGTTCTGCCTCTAGAAAAATATCCAAAAACTTGAGGCATTGGATAGGAAGGAATAAAAGCAAGCAAATAACGAAAAACATAGCCAAGCAGCACTACTACTACTACTACTACTGCTGCTGCTGCTGCTGCTACCCATAATAATAATATTCATTGGACTCAGGAATCAAAGTCAGAATGAGAAGAAACCCGAGACTGAGAGTTGTGAGCAGGGGGTATGCTGGATGAATCTGCTCCAGCAGATGGAGATGGACATGGAGATGGAGATGGAGATGCAGGGAAACCATGGGCTTCTGGTGCGGTGGTGGCAGCAGTAGATGGAGAGGGAGAGGGAGAGGGAGAGGTGTCAGCAGCAGCAGCGCTTCCTACCAATTTTTGGTACATAGTGAGAGCTTGGGACATTGCATTGGCAGGATCGGCAACAGTGCTGCTGGGAAGTAACACCAATGTGCTTTCCTTGGCAATGTTACTGAAGGCTTGAATATACTGCTCCGCAACTTTAAGACCCACGGCCTCTAATCCCCCGCTGCTTTCCTTGATTGCCTGTGAGATCATTGCAATTCCTTTAGCCGTTGCTTGTGCTTTAGCTAGGACGGCCTCTGCTTCCCCCTGCGCTCTGTTCACTTGATCCAGCCTCGCCCCTTCCGAGGCCAATATCACCGAATTCTTCCTTCCGTCCGCAATGTTGATGTCTGTTTGCCTTTCCCCCTCCGACTCCAGAACCTGAGCCCTCTTTCTTCGTTCTGCTTCGGCTTGCATCTCCATGGCTTGCTTCACTCCCTTGGGAGGAGTTATGTCCTTGATTTCATAGCGGAGGCACTTTAGACCCCAGTTCTTGGCAGCCTCGTCAATGGCCTGCACAATTTTGACGTTTAAGGAGTCTCTCTCAACGAATGTCTTGTCGAGAGTCATCTTCCCAAGCTCACTGCGCATGGTTGTTTGTGCGAGCTGAACAACGGCATAGATAGGATGCTCCACGCCATAGGAGGCCAAGAGAGGATCGACGACTTTCAAGTAGAGGACCCCATCGATGGAGATGGTGACGTTGTCCTTGGTAATAGCAGACTGGTCAGGGATGGAGATTGCCTCCTCCTTGAGGGAATGGGCGTAGGCAATTCGATCCACCATAGGAATGAGGAAGTTGATTCCGGTGTCGAGAGTTTTGCTGTACTTGCCAAACCGCTCCACGATGTAAGCCCTCTTTTCGGTTACTATTTGAATGCCCAAGTTGCAAGGAGGTTTGATCTCATGCATACACCGGGGATCGCGCCCGCTCCAAAAGTAACGACGACAACCACCACCGCCACCGGAGATGATGGCCAATGCTGCTGCTGCAGCAGGAGGAGGAGGAGTCTTATTATTATTATTATTATTGATCAGAAACCCTAGAGTAGTACTAGTAGTAGTAGATCTAGACGATGTTGTCGAAAGCCCTCTGCAACTGCCACCCCACCCCGTGGTAGTACTCGACTGGTGTTTGGGTTTCAGAGATCTGATCAACACGTCAAGAGACGTCCTTCTGCCCATGTTCTTCATCTTTCTTTCTTTCTTCTTCTTCTTCTTCTTCTTTCCTGAACTCTTTTATGCCCGCCCTCCCTTCCCTTCTCAATGCATTGAACTACTAGGGTTTTGCTTAAAGTACTTCAATTCTAAAATCCTTTCCCCTTCCCCAAGCAACCTACGCTAAGAGTCCTATAGTGATTGTTTGGGAAGTAGGGTTTTTTTTTGGAGCTTTTTTGATAAATCCATTTTTTAAGAGTTTTATTCCATTCAACCCATATTCTTTTTGACTATTCCATTAGGTCCAATTTAAGATAAGAAGACCAAAATACCCTTTTCATCTACTTATGTTCCATTTAATTCACATTATTTTCTTATATTTCAATAAGTCCTACAAGTGACATAATTACCAAAATACCCTTAATGTGAATGTTCACACCGTCAACGTAAATGTTCATATCGTCAATGTGTAGGAGCCCGGCCCATGTCGATCCTCGTGGGTGCCCGGAAAAATTCGAGTCGGGCCGGGCCGGGCCGGCCCACAGGCCAAAAAAATAGGCCCGGCTCGGCCTGTTGATAATATGAATATTCACATTGACAAGTTAACATTGGCTGATCTCAGCCGTTGCAAGGAGGAGATGAAGGAGGATTTGCAAGGAGGGGATCCAGACTCTGTAGAAGAAGCCCTCAACAAGTAGGGATTGTCACTCGTCAGGTTTGGGATGAGTTTATTGAAATTTGCCCCTGCTCGTATTAGTGGGTGTTTGGGAAGTGGATTTTTTTTGTAAGTTTTTTTAGTTGTAGACTATTATTAGAGAAATTTTTTTTTTTGTGTTTGGGAAGATAGTTAAGTATTTTTGTGGTTGGATGTGATTGTTGTGAGAGAAAAAGTGAAATGATTATGGGCTTTGATGTGATATTGTTTGAATTTGTTTTTTTTTTTTGGTTTTATAACCAATTTGTCTTTTAGTGAAAAAAAAAAACCAAAAAAAATCCTTCCTAAACACCCCCATAATATAATCGGAGGAGGATCCCCTCCGGTGCTATTTGGGTCCATAGGCCCATCACGGTCCTGTTTTGATAATCCAAATTGTTCATTTCACCGGACGCTTCGTGTTTTTCGTCCCAAAAAAAATAGATCGATCCGATAACTATAACTTGTTCAATTTATTATGTTTGCCACTAAAAAAAATATATGGTTTATTTTTAAAAACATAAGGTGGCTGTAGCCCTGCCCAAAATTTAAAAAATCTATAGAATTTTTTTTTCCCAGCCAAGCCCAACCCAGCCACCCAACCCCAAATAAGAGCCAATAGTTTTTTTTAGTTTTTAAGATAGACGGCCCCAATAGCAGCCCAATACTTACCCCAAAAAACAGATAGGCAGCCCAATAGGTTTGTATTTGTTTAAAGAACAAATCTTCTAAAACAATCATCACATCTTCCAATAGGTAGGTAGCAACCGTCTCTTTGTCGTCTCCAACAGCCAGCAGCAGCTCCACTTTTCTAGCATTTTTTGTAAGTGTAATTAACCAGTTTTTTTATTTCGTTGGTTGAGAATGGATTTGATTAACAATCGTTTTGAAATTTTGTCTTTATGCAACAAATATTATGTTGCTCTTAGTTTTTTTATGATAATGCCTTGTTCAATTTTCTATATTGCTCTTAATGCCTTGTTCAATTTTCTATATTGCTCTTAGTTTTTGAATTTTTAATGAGTTTTTTTTTGGACATATATGATATATAAAAATAATAAAAGCCTAAATAAAAATTATTGAGGATTTGTATAAAAACCCTAATATTTAAAATTATTGCGAATATACTTTGGTTTAATATTAAATAGTGCTAATTTTTTTAAAAAAATTTGTTAGGTTATAAATAATGAAACCTCCACTCAAAAAAGGAAAAACTCTTTTCTCATTTTATCAATCAAAATAGAAGTCTAGTAGTACAACATCCAATATTGTTGAAACCTCATTTTTTGATGTGCAACCGCTTTCCATGCCTCAAGCAGATAAATCAAGCAAATTTGATTCAACTGTTATTGAAAATTGATCTAGATTCTGTAATCGATGAATTCGAATCTTTAAAGACTCGTCGAGCACAAATTAGTTAGATTGTTTCTAATCAATAAATTTAGATATTAATCTAGTTTATATTATTAAATTCTCTTTTTTCTTATGTGGTTATACTTAAAATATATTGTATAATTTTACCTTAATATTAGCCCACCCCATTGACGAATCCCGGGTCCGCCCTTGATTGTTGTCTACTTTTTTAGTGAATAATTGAATAAGTTATAATTATCGGATCGATTTAATTTTTTTTGTAGATGAAATACTCAAGGTACTCGACAAAAAGAACAGTTCGAAATTGAAATGGAGTCCATGATGAGCGTTCTCCAATGCTAATCTATTCCGTTATTAAAAGGGAACACACATTTGGACTCTTGAAACTTTTGTCATGTGTCAGTTAGATAATAATAAATAAATAAATATAATAATTCATCCACATTTTACTATCTCAACATAAATATGGTAATTTGAAATACAAATCACTTCCACAAATATAGCAACTTCCACAAATATAGCAATTTCAAATACAGACCACTTCGACTTTTCTAATTTTCATGTTCCCTAAATTGTTGTGCAATTTCAATTCAGTTTCACCATCTTCACTTCTCTCTCGATATCCATCTTTGATTTTTTTTTTGTTTTT